AGAGAGAGAGAGAGAGAGAGAGAGAATGGGGGCGAACGTGCTTCCGATGTGTGCCACCAACACTCAAAGCCTACTCCCTCTCCCCTCCTCCATCTCCTGCTCCTCTCCTCCCCTCGTTTGCTTTCTGTCCCATTGTTTTCCGCTTGAAGCCCAGTGCGAAGACGAGCCCTAAAAAACTGTTCTAAAGAATCGCTCACGAAGACACGGACATACAAAACTGGTGAGAGTCCTCGTGCTCAATCAATTTCTGATCCTTCAAGAGCAATGCTGATTTCTATCTACTTCGCACTCACATATATATATCTTTCTCTCTCCCTCTACTCAAAACCATACACCACAGCTGCAGCGATTCAAACAATTACCTAAAAGTAAAAGTCATCCAGCAAACCGCACAATGCGGGAAAAGCCATTCAATATCATTTGGACTGCGGAGGCGGACAGACAGAGTGCTCTTTGAGCTGAGACAAAACATACTCCATGACGATAAGAACACAATGTACAGATCTGGAAGCGTGTGTTTTAGTAAGAGTAAATGTTACGGCACTTGCAACACAATAAGGCCATATAAGAGCCGAAGATTAGAGGTGTTACAAGGAGAGAAACAAACACACAAAAAGTAGGAGAGATCAGGACGATAGATTTTAGGTAAGAAATAAGAGAGAAGCACATCGACACAACAATGGTCATTTAGTGCTGGTAAAAAGCAAGGCAGACAGACAAAAACTGCAGAGGAAAGTGAAGAAGAAGTAGGACCTTCCAGCGGCACCTTCCAACCATCCACAAGGCCCTGCACTCTCAGTTTTAGTAAGATTTTTACGGCACTTGGAACACAATACGGTCATATAAGTGCCGAAGAAAAAAAGGTGTTACAAGGGAGTAACCTACACAAAAAATGAGGGAAATTGACGGTAGATGTTTGCTGGGAAAGAAGGAGCAAACCACACCAGAGCACCCGCCAACCACAAAGCCCTCTACTCTCTCGACAGCAAGAAGAATTGATACTTCACATACGTCGGGTTATACGACGTGGTGTGCCCCGTTTGGGTCCGCCCCTAGACGGTCAGAGAGATCACCGTAGTAAGAACGTATAGGCCGGCCCTCTTGCGATATAGACAAGGCATGTTTCGAGAGCAATACTTGAACGCCTCAAAAGCACTTATCACGCGGGCCCACCATTAAGAACAGCAGAAGTTTCAATGGTTACAACAACACCACAGACAGGCAGAACCAGTAGGAATGAAAGGAAAATTACAAAAAAATAATTAATGGTATGTAGACAGCCTGCACGATACAGAGAGTTACCTTTAAAAAAATAGTTTTGGTAAGAGTTGTACGGCACTTGAAACACAATTAAGTCACATATAAGCCGAAGATTAGACCTGTTACAAGAGAGAAATAACACACACAAAAAAAAGAACGAGCAGAAACGAGAGCGGTAGATAGGAAAGACGGAGCAAGCCACACCACGTAAAACAATACAACAACTA